CGCGTTTGTGCGACCGTGTGTGGCGTAGCAGGCCGGGCATTGTTGGATGTGTTCGGGTGCCATCCGCCGTGAGCGCGTGGTGTGCCCGACGTGGGTGCGTCCGAGCGCGTGTCCGTGCGTGAGCGCGTGTGTGCGTGAGCGCGTGTGTGCGACTGTTGGTGCGTCGAGCGGTCTGTGGCGCGTGGTGCGTGAGCGCGTGTGTAGCGTGAACGCAATGTGTGCGACGTGGGTGCGTGAGCGCCTGTTGCGTGTGTGCTTGAAGCGCCGTGTGCGACGTGGTGTGCGTGAGCGCGGTGTCGGTGCCGTGAGCGTGTTGTGTGCAGTAGAGCGCATTTGTGCTGAGCGGTGTGGGGTGATGTACAGTGTGCGTGCAGCGCGTCCGTGTGCGGAACCACACCACGAAGACCGCCGGCAGCCGCTGTGTGGTGTGAGTGAAACGTAGTGTGCCGTCCGAGCGCGTGCGTGCCCGACGTGTGTGGCGTGGGAGCGCGGTATGGCGACCCCTTGTGGTGCGTTGAGCGCGTCGGTGTGGACCTGTCCGCCGCGGGTGTGCGTGAGCGGTGTGTGGACGGGTGTGCGTCGAGCGCGTGTGTCGACGTGGTGTGCCAGTGCAGCGCGCTGTGCAGTGTGTGATGGTGAGGTTTGTGCGATCTGTGTGCTGGTTGAGCGCGTGTGTGCGGTTGCGCGTGTGTGCATGCATGTGTGCGTGAAACGCCGTGTGTGCGTGAGCGGGTCCCGTGTATTGCGACTGATGTCGTGAACCGTCGCGGCGACCGTGTCTTTTTCCCTGTGCTTGAGCGCTGTGTGCGAACTGCTGCGTGTGTGCGTAGAGCGCGGGTGTGCGGCGTATGTGTGCGCTTGTGCGACGTGTGTACGTGAAGCCGTGCAGGTGCGCGACGGTGGTGCGAGTCGAGCGGCGTGTATGCGACGAGACGCTCGCGCTGTGTGGCCGTGCGCTGCCGGTCGCCCGTGTGGACGTGTGTGCGAGTGGAGCGGCGTGCCCGCTGCGTGGGCTCTGCCCCCCCCAGCCCGCTTTCCATCGTGTGTCTCCTCCTCTGCATATCCCTTACAGACACCTCGTGCGTGGAGCGCTGTACGTGCGGACGTTGTGTGCTAGGCAGGCGCGTGTGCTGTCAGGGATCCGTCTCCCTCTCCTTCCATATCAACCTCCCGTTATACTCACTTTCAAGCTTTCTTTTCGGGTCATGCGTCGACAGCGCGTGTGTCTGGCCTAGAGTACTGCCTCGTGCGTTGCGATGTGATTCAGTGCGTTGAAGCGCGTGTGTCGCGATGACGCGTGTGTATGCCCACCGTCCGTCGGCTTTTCTTCCGCCTCGTCCAAGGTCCTGTATCCTTACTCCGAGGGCACTGACCTATTGCGGCCTTCGGGACCGTTCCACGTGAGCAGCCCCTCCCAACGCGCTGCGCTCAACGGCTGTGTGCGTGACGAACGCGTGTGTGCGACAGTGTGCTCGCGGCGCCAGCGCTTGTGGTGCTAGTGTGTGCGTGAGCGCGTCGTTGTGTGCGTCGACGTCGCGCTGGGGCCGGGGGTGACGTCTCCGCTCCCCTATGCGCCGCCGCGTCGTCTACCCTGTGGTGATGCGCGTGCTCCTCCATCGCCGTTACATGCTGCCTCGTTGTACAGTCGCTGGCCTCGTGGCGTGACGGGGTGTGGTGCACACTGTGGGGCTGCGTTGAGCGCGCAGGGTCCGTGTGTGGCCTCTGGAGCGCCGTGTGTGCGACCTTGCTTTCGAATGGTGCTGTGAGCGCCGGTGTGGTGCGTGAACCACTGTATCGCGACTGTCGGCGCGCGTGTAGCGCGCTTATTTAGACGGTGCCCCTGCACCATCCTGTACCACTCCCTGTGCCGGTGACTCGCGCGCGTCGTGCGTACGTGTGGTCGATTACGAGTCGCGCATGTCGTGTGACGTGTCCAGCTGCATGAGCGGTATGCTGCGGCTAGTGCAGCGTCATTCCACGCAAAGGGCGCGCCAAGATCGAAAACTTAAATGATGTATAAATTATGCTTTTGAACGTTAGTCTTGCTTTTTGCTTTTAGTCTATTTGCATTCTAGTTGCATTTGCGTCTATCTTTCCCTAAAAACATTAGTTCTTAGAACAAGTCTTTGCTCATACATTCATCTTTTTCTTCCCACTCTTCTTTTTTTGGGGGGCCTTTTTGGTTTTTGCCCCTCCCCCTTTTTGATTGGCGGGCGGCCGCCCCCCCCACTGTCTGGGCTCTGCCGTGACCACACACACACAACCGCGCTGGCGCCGGCGCCCGCACGCACACACCAGACATGCGCACGCATACAGTGTCTGTAGATCGAAGTCCGCAACCCCCGAGTCCGAGTCGAGTTCCATTTCTGATAAAAAAAAGGGGGCACAGAACCGACAAAGGCCATTCACTTCTATGTATGTGTGTTCAAAAAATGGGGGGGGGGGGTGTTGTTTCCTGTCCCCTGGATCTGTCCACTTGTTTTGCATAAAATAGAAAGCACCACTAAAACTGCCATAAGCTCGACACTTCTTTAGTGGACCAGCATATCTTGTGTCGACTTAGAAAATAACGTGTTGGAAAATAAAATAAAAATAACAATTAAAAATGTGGCATTTGCATTGTTTACGCCTCACGAACCATTTCTATTGTATGCTAGAATGAATAGCTGCATCTTCTATCCCCGATCATCTCTACCCTCTTCTGTGAGCACTATGTAGATTGACTCTAGGACAAAAGCTGCAATCCGTGCATCGCTAGCACATGTTCTGTGACTACAGTGCTCTTTATAGTCATGCCGAAACCATCACACGCAGACCATCTCTGAATGTTCGATATCGAAGACGTGTCAAAGATAAGCGGATCCATTTGTGTTTTACTGGTAATGACACGGCTTGTTGCACCAACGATGAGAGATTGCGGAGACTCCTCAGTCAACCCCTTACATACTAGTCCCTACTACCTTCCGAATTAGTGTTAGAAGTCATAATAGCTATTACCTACTAGGTACTCGCAATAGTTCCATGACATTCATTTTACACCTTTCGCCCTTATAATGCACTTCGTCCTTGCCAGCCCAGTGCTAGACGACTCTCATAATCGCTCGCGCCTGCTGTACATTATTATTGCCCGTGTTGAGATACGAATGCTATCCGCGCGTCGTAACTCGGGGGGAAACTCGGCCTACGCGCGATCTTAAAGCGCCGACCAAACAGCATCTACGACTACTATGTATGTGTGCGGCCTCGAGCCGCGTTTCTCCTCGAACCCCGGTCCTCGATTTCCGGAGGGCTCTGGAGTCCCGTTACGTCCGAGTCCGAAGTCATTGCATCGAGGCCGAGGACCGCAGGACGGCCAAAGGGAAACGGTCTCCGAGGACCGCCACGTCTCGAGACCCATGCAAAGACCGGTCTCGAGACCTACAACACTGACGCATACACATACACATCATTTTTAGTAGCCTAGAATTATTTTTGAGCCCGCAATCCATTTTTCATAGTTAAGAAACATAAAAGAAATAATTAGGCATATGTTTCTGTTTTTGTGTGTGCCTTCCGGTGTGATATATGTGTGTATTTCAGTGCATGGCATATTGCTGTTTCTGGTACCTTTCAGCACTTCTCGGGATTTCGCTGGACCTATGTTGTGCTCACTGTGCGTGCGTGCGTGCATGCGTGTGCGTGCGTGCGCGCAATTATAATATTATATATATATATATATATATTATCAAGAGTGAATAAAAACAAATATATATAAATATGAAATAACCTCATAACCTCCTCATAAGTGATAATCTTCAAAAGTCCTGGAGACTATAACGAAGATGGAGAGAGTGGATCAAGTCGGTAGATCCACACTGCGGATTGCAGCGGAAAAAGTTGTGAATTTGCTATTTACTAAGGATGAAGGCAGTGAATTCCAATACGGAATCACAGAGACAAAGAAGCTCAACTTAAAGGGATCCTTAGAAGTTTGTACATGCCGAAAACAGTGATCACGCTCAGATGAGCGGGTGCAGCGAACAGGCTTCATTAAGCAAGAAGGAATGGCAATTTTCATCTCACCATGATAAATTTTATAGAAAGTTATGAGTTTTGAGTGAAGAAAGTGGACACGAAGAGGAGGCCATTCAAGACGAGCCAAAACAACATCAGTACTATCATCATAGTTTCTGGAGACCCATCTCGCAGCTTTATGCTGAATGGTGTCCAATCTAGAGCAGTTCTGAAGTCTATAGGGGCACCAGGCTGTTAAATAAATAAATAATAAATAATTAGCAGACTTGGCCTATGTTATATATACACTTGCAAGAAAATCGGCCCAAAAATAAAAGATAAATGTTCATATATATGATTGATAGAGAATTACACACATATTGAACTTATTTGAATCCTATGCAACCTCACCGTTTCACCGGTCGGCATTCGCCGCCCATAATAGGTTTATTCCATATATTACGCACTTTGGAATTTTGACACGAGAGATAAGATCAGGAGTGTATCAAAAGTTTTGATACACTCCTGATAAGATATATAAGAGATGGCGCCACGATGTCCAAATTCAACATTGGAGGTCATGTATATCAATTCGGAGGGGTGTTGCTATACCCCGGGCGTGGAGGGAGGTCACGTGATAACGTTGACGATGACGTTCAAAATGTTAACCCTAACGGTAAACTCTCACTCCAACACCGCCACCACTAACACTCACACTAAATATGTATGTGTCGCCGCGCTATATATAGGCAGTGTTATTCACAAAAATTAATCTATGGTGTGGGGACAGATATCATGATGCAAAAATCCTAACCCTAACGTACCCTAACCCTAACCCTAACCCTAACACTATCACTAACCCTTAAAATTAAAAATTAATAATTAATAATTAAAAATTAACCCTAACCCTAACCCTAACCCTAACCCTGACCCTAACCCTAATCCTAACACTATCCTAACACTAGTGCTGCCACGTTGCGGTCACCTCCCTCCACGCCCGGGGGATAGCATTACCCGATTCGGAGTACACCGGGTGACCGATCGTGACGGCAGCCTTTAAGAATAAGCAACCGTCGAATATACAACTGAACATCGGTAACTTAATTAGAATTTAATTAGAACAAAATTTGTGTTGAAACTAAGAAATATAAGCTTTTCAATAATCCGTGACGACCAATCACAATTAAATACTAAACTCTAAGTCAACAAAAACGACCAATCACATGTTAGATAATACAGCAATGTTTGCAATCGCATATGTTTACAGTTTTACTATGGTGAAAACACCAAAAACTTGATGAGGTTAGGCCTACACATTTCAATATACCTTTGAATCAGGTAAGCAGGACGTTACCAGAGAGACATGATACAAGATTGCGTGGCACAGCTTTGCTGTTGATCCTAAGCGCTGCGCGCGGATGAGACGCGCAGTTCCACGGGATATGCGCATGCGACCGCGGGGATGTTCAATTCACAATTGTATGAAGCGCTGTCTGCAGTGGAGACGTGCGCCAAACTCCATGACAGATGGCGCTCTCGCTCATGAGCTCAATCTACGAGTATCCTGAGTGTACGAAGGTGCACTGTATGCAGTTTGGCATCGGCCTAGACTTGTACCCGGTCGACAGTTCCACACGCTACACTAACAGCGGCAGTGTAGCGAAGGATACTTGCCGGAGGGAAGGTGGCGAACGGGTACCATTCTAGCATCGGCCGGGCATTTCATTATTTACGAAAAGTAAACACAGTCGGTATAGGAACTGGGCAAGTCGGTGACGCCCCATTCATGCCCATCAATGAAGAAGGCGGGGCTTATTCTGATTACGGAGATGCAAAAATGCAACAAAAGTACGTAGCGCAGTGCGCAAACGGTGTGTTATTTTCGTTTTTGTGCCAAACTCTATCGTAGGAAACCGTTCTATCCTAGCAGAATGCCCTAGTTCCTGAGATCGGCGATTTCGTACTGTGATGGGTCCCCACCTATAACAATTTATAAGGGAGGTGCGGCGTAGGCTGTGATTGGAGGACACAAAGTGTCAATCCTCGGCTCGCCTCGGCATTATGGCCACATCACGTCTAGAAAGGGAATGTTCGGCTGCTTGACGATCTGCAGCCCGGATATACGCGCGAAGCGCGAACAGCGCCACCTCGTGGTGCCTTTTGAGACAATTCGCGGCCCTGTATGTAGAACTAACTACTCGAAGCCCTCTGGGTACTACAGAAAGCCCGAGAATCGGTCAATTGAGCAGTTCTGGCGATTGCAGAAGCCTTTCGACTCTGCACGTAGGGCGAGAATAAATCCAATGGTCGTAATTGCTAATTTTTTTGGTTGGCGCGTTACGTTTTCGTCTAGAAAAGCGATTTCTAATTTATTTAATTTAACGCCCTGAACTTATTCTCGTACATATCGCGTCCCATAGATGGCGCGACGAGGCTCTCTTCGAGGGATTTTCCAGAGAATTTTCCTTAGACTGCCCCGCGGTGGAGAGTTTGACACGCTCCACTAACTATAACTTTAGTGTAGCGAAAGATACTTGGCCGAGTTAAGGCCCGTACGAGTCTAGCTGGAGTCGTGACGTGGGCCACCAGCCATCTTAGTTCTCCGCAGGCCTGACTGATTGATGGTTGTTTAGACTGAGAATTCCTTCGAGTTCGGATAGTAAGATCGCAAGCGATATGCAATATGGAATTTGATATGTCCTCTTGACCCCGCGCTGCCCGTGGCGACGGCACGTCGTGCGAGCACGTGCTGGGCCTGCTGGCGTGGCCGTGGGAGTTTTTACACGTAGCTAATCCTACAACACGCCGCCACTGACACACAAATATATATATGCACATAACCCGTGGCGGCAGAGCGAGCGAGAGCGAGAGAGAGAGAGAGAGACAGACTGCGGGGAGTGCGAGAAAGAGAGGAAGATAGTGGGAGAACGCCAGATAAGGTAGGAAAATACGGCAGGTGACGGTACGACGGCGAGGATGTACAAACGCGTGTCAATCCATAATCGGAAAACCCCCCCCTCGAAAGCCGATGTAGCCGAGCCGATGTACGTGTCCCGAAAACTCCGCGATGTTACGCTGCCCGCTATACGCATTCGCGCGCCCGCCTTCCTTCGGCGCGCGAATGCGTATAGCGGGGGAGCTTACGCATAACATCCCGCGGCCGCGTGCGCCCAGTCCCGCGGAAGTGCGCGGCTTAACCGCTTTCGGCGGTCGGGGAACAACGCATCTTTTGCGCAAGGCCAATTAGGCCATCTTGTATCCGGTCTCTCTGGATGTGAGAAAACGCAATTTCCTCGCCATACTTCGTCTTTCATCGTTAGGTACGTGCACATGCAGGCACTTGAAGCGTTTCAATAAAATACAATGCTAACTAAATACGAAATCTATTTACTACCAAATTCTTACTGTTTCTATACTCTCTTTCACCTATTATTGCCGACAGTTTCCTGTCAATTCCGTCCAAATCCTACGTGCAACCATATACGCTGCCGGTGACATATTGCTCTCGCGGCTCCACTGTTGCACGCTTACACTAATATATATAGCAGGTAGGAAAGCGGGATCGCAAAATTCGCTCGACGCTCGCTGGATTTCACACTTTCACAGCACGAATACGTACACATCCAACAGCTGCCATCTTTGTTTCTATGTCAAGAACAGTGTTCATTTGTTATAAAAACGCTGTCTCTGTTCGTAACCGAGCTGTGTCACGCGAAATCACAGAAAGACTGACGAAATTCTCGCGATTGCGAACTTTGCCCTGTAATGTAAATGGCTGTCAGAATCAGGGCTATATATAGACTGGGACTCACTCCCACCTCGATTACCCATCGAGTGACTAAGCTAAGCCGAGAGGTGGAAGCGAGTGCCAGTCTATGGACTATAGGCGGCGTGCAGGCGGCGCACTGCTTTCCAACTTTCGTACGAGCCTCGCCATTGGAACGTTGCAAAAACGTTGCAGCGTTGCGGCGCAAGAATGAGGTCACGAAGAGCGCCGGTAGGTGTTTCTTGATTCTGACAGCCATTTACATTACGTGGCAAGGTACGCGAACGCGAGAATTTCATCAGTCTTTCTATATATCTAATACTAGCTGCGGGTACCCGCTGCGCTGGGTAAAATCGTGCTACTAATTCATAGTACTATAATAATGGGACAGAATAGGAACATTGGGTAAAAATCGACACTAACATTGCAGACAATATTAATATTTAGAAATGAGTGTAATAAGATAATAAGCATGGGAAAAACGAAAAAACTGTTACATATGACATTTATATGACAGCACAACCGAACTTAGAACCCCTGGGACATAATAGTAATATGGTGTAAATGACAAAAAGTTATTATAAGAGCATGTAGGAATGGGTTGGACTTTTCATTTGAAAGCCTCTTGATAAAGAATGTATTTCGTCTTATTCTCTGGTGCAAATATGTAAAGATTCCTGGTGTCTCCAACTCTTGAGCTCCCCACGTACAGCTATCCATTGTGAGATCGTAGCATGAATAAAAGGAATATAGTATCAGGAGCTAATAATGACAAATTTGCCATTATTAGCTGCTCATAGTATAGATAGAGACACACAACCATGCACATTGAAATGAAGAGATTTCCCTACTGAATCAGAAACTGCATAGCTTTCGAATGGTACAATGCATTGTGAGATCGTAGCATCTGAACTGAACCTCTGAGCTGAGTGAGTAGTACCTCTGAACTGGTGAAACTGGTGCTGGTTGTGGTGTGTTTTAGTATTGGTTTCGGTTTCACAATACCAGCAGCCGGATGAGATGGGGAATCGATTTTTCTCTCTGTGGCAGCACTGTACAGTCAGTGCTGACATTGTGTGAAGATTCACGAATTGACGGGTTTTTCACGGATTTTTCGGTGAGTTTAACGGTTTGACAGGTTTTTTTCATCTAGGAACACTCCCCGGGTATAAGAGATGGCCCTGTGAAAATTGCATCCAGATCGCTTGGGCGGTTTGGCCGCCTATAGGGAAGATACATACATACATTCATAGATAGATAGATACATACGAACTCAAATATATATTAGATGTATTTGAGTTCGTATGTATGTATGTATGTATCTTCCCTATAGGCGGCCAAACCGCCCAAGCGATCTGGATGCAATTTTCACAGGGCCATCTCTTATACCCGGGGAGTGTTCCTAGATGAAAAAAACCTGTCAAACCGTCAAACTCACCGAAAAATCCGTGAAAAACCCCTCAATTCGTGAATCTTCACACAATGTCAGCACTCACTGTACAGTGCTGCCACACACAGAAAAATTGATGACTATTTCTCTCCCTCATTTCATCAGCTGCTGGTATTGTGAATCCGAAACACATTCCGATCAGCCGCACGTGCGTGCCCCCTCGCCTCTGATCCCCTCGCCTGCATTACGCTGTCGCTGTCGTTACGACTGCATTGTTTATCAAGCGGCTTTCAAATGAGAAGTGCAACCCATTCGTACATGATGTTACGTGCCGTACGTGCCATACGTACATGCCGTACGTGGGCAGCTCAACAGTTCGAGACGCCAGGAATCTTTACATATTTCCACCAGAGAATAACACAAAAAACATTGTTTATCAAGAGGTTTTCAAATGAAAACTGCAACCCATTCGTACATGCTGTTATAATAACTTTTTCTCATTTACACCATATTACTATTATGTTCCAGGAGTTCTAAGTTGGGTTGTGCTGTCATATAAATGTCATACGTAACAGTTTTTTCCCCATGCTAAATTGTAAATATTGATATTCGGTGCAATGTTATTGTCGATTTTTACCCAATGTTCCTATTGTGTCCGATTATTAGTAATATGAATTAATAGCACGATTTTACCCAGCGCAGCGAGTACCCGCAGCTAGTATATATATATAAATGAAGTCGCCTAATAAAAATCCGTGCGTAATGACCCAGAGGCGGCATCTATCGGGGAAAAAGTAACAAAATCCATTAATCAGTTATAATCTACAATCAAGAGCATATAATTATAAAGAAGGTATTCTTTATACCCTTCTTTATACGCTCTTGCTACAATCTATTCCTTATGAGCCCATAGCCTTAGCCTCAGAGGTGGTAAGGGGGCAGCTGCACACGTTAGATTTTGAAAGAAAAATCAACACAAGCTAGACAAGTGCAATTAACCACGAAACACAATTATATCATGTCATCCATGAGGCCCTTATGTAGCACACACCCCTGCCGCGCTACGCACATAGCTGTACACGTGTTAGCTCTAGAACTATAGTCCTTCGCTCTGCACCAGAAACCTTTGCAGAGCGAAAAAGGACACAGGTTTAGTTGACTTGAAGCTCTGACTCTGCTAACCTGAAGCATTTCTTTCATTCAGGGAAAGCACTTCTATATAGTTGCAACAAAGTGGCGAACCCTGGGCAGGACCTGTTACCAGGGCAACACCTTGGGGTGCGTAACCAAGGCAACACACAGTAACCACGGTAACCAACGCGTCGAGATGCATTTCGACGAGGTGCTGGAGCACCTCGGTGAGATGGGGCGCTATCAGTGGCGCATGCTGTTCTTTGTGGGACTTCCCATTCTGTTTGTGGGGATGGAGACGATGGCGCCAGTCTTTCTAGCCGCGGTTCCGCACCACAGGCAAGTATTCTCGGTAGTGTCAGGAGCGAATGAATAACAATGGAGAGAATGAAAACGAGTGTTGGCGTTTATTCACTCCAGTGTTTCAATTTGCCTTTATTTATTTGAGACAGTGTTTCAATTTGCCTTTATTCATTCCAGTGTTTTAATTTGCCTTTATTTATTCCAGTGTTTCAATTTGCCTTTATTCATTCCAGTGTTTCAATTTGCTTTTATTCAATCCATTTACAACTCATTATAATAATTTTGTCATTATTCACGTGACGGAAAATCGCATAAAAGCGACAAGACAAATTTGCAATCTCCTCACCATCTGCACAGTAGAATCGCTAGCTTAAAAAAACGAGTGATAACACTAGAACATGCGCGACAACACAAGAACGCTCTCTTGGTTCCCGCGTCAGGTGCTTCGTGCCGGGATGCGACGACCCCATCGACCCCACCTACAGCGCCCCCTGGCTGAACGGGACGATACCCTGGGAGATGCGCGATGGGGCGTGGCAGCGCAGCCAGTGTGACTACTACGCAGTGCCGTCCGACGTTGTGCGAAACTGCTCGGTCGCCCGTCGCCGCGGCGACGCCGACGACAAGCCCCGGGTGGCGACCTGCGACAGATGGGTGTACGACACGTCCATCTATGCGGCTACCGTGACGACGGAGGTGATTTGCTTGTTGCCGTGGTCACGGATGTATTTAACCGACACTGTGTCGTGCATTGCGTTGCTATGCCATATGCTTTAATTGCTACACTATGCGTTGCTATGCTGTGCCATGATACGCTATATATGCTATGCTAAATGTGTATATATATATATATATATACATATAATATATATACAGAAAATATTGAAATGATGACAACTGGAGACATAATTATGCACTAATGTTTTCACTTTATTAGCTTATCAGGTGCATATATCTTCAGGTATATGATATGCACCTGAAGAGCTAATGAGGTGAAAATGTTAGTGCATAACTATATGTCTCCAGTTGTTATCATTTCAATGTTTTGTGTGTAATTTAACTTGCATTTGGAAAATTGAGCTTTATATATATATATATACCAGGAGTGAATAATAACAGATTATATCATCTATTATTATTCACTCCTGTATATACTTTAGCTTTCTTTAGGCTTCTTTAGATCAGTTTACCTTCCAAGTTTATTCTTAAGCTAGACAGCCTGGCTGTTCGTTACCCTCGGACTACCGCACCGTATGTTGGTGGGGCTGGCGCGCATTCATTGATGTTCCACGGTTCAGGTAAAAAATTCTTTTTCAAGTCTGTGGGAAAAATAGCTCTCGTCAAAACTTTTACGGGAGCTATTTTGAGCCTCACGGGAGCGATTTCGGAGGTTTGGGAGCTCATCGCTCCCGTGCATTTTTTACCCTGGTGTTCACCGTCTCGGTTTGCTTCCTCTGCGCAGTTTGACGTCGTGTGTGGCAGGGAGTGGCTGATGGCTCTCTCGCAGGCGATGTTTATGGCAGGAATCCTCGTCGGAAACGCCGTCTTTGGGTCGCTGTCTGACAAGTAATTTAATAGTTAAAATTTTTTAATTTAGTATTTTAAGTTTGAGGCCTTGGAAGGCATTGTCAGAAATAATCTTATTAGTGTTAGTCTTAGATAATAGTCTTAACATGAGTCTTAACTTTAGTGTTAACGTTAACTGGAATTTAGTTTAAGTCTTGACGTTAACAAATAATTTGATGCCTTGGAGGGCATTGTCAGAAATAATATTATTCGTGTTAGTCTTAAACAATAGTCTGAACACACTTTTACGTTAGTCTTAACGTTAACAAGTAAGTTTGAGGCCAGTGTTCGAAATTCACGTCGGCCCGTCGCCGACAGTTTCGATGCCCGGCCTACAGCTTCTTGATAAAACAGGCCCGCTGATCCTACAGCTATTTCATCACCGAAAATTCGAAACACTAAGAAACTATTACCTGTAGAAATACCCTAACCCTACCCCTAACTCTAACCGACTCGGCTATCTTATATACGCGTGTACCCAATTAATCTATGGTGTATAACCTTTTGCTTTCAATATTTTGCATCTGAACTGACAATCAATCCCAACCAACTGGTGTAGGCTAGCTGGCACAATAATGTTCATTTTCATACTTCAAATCCGAGTGTTTTCTAGCTTATCAAGAAATCTTAATCGTGAATTAAATCGTGAATTAATTTCCAACGGCATTATTACGGGGCAGGTAACCCAGTCTAACACGAGGTAGAGTAGACTGGTACACTTACTGACCACTCCTGCCATTGTATGTTTTGTACATAACACTAGGGGTAGAGCCCACAATAACAAAATACAAACAGTGGACATAGCCAAAGGCAAATGGTAAGTCAGATCCAGAACAGTGTGTCGATAGTAAAACTACATAATACAAATGAGTAAAATGATATAAGAAGATTTACAGTACCAGTATAGTTAATTGGTATGTATATGCAGTGTTGGAAAAAAAGACAAAAATTCCATCCGGTCCTGATTAAAAGGACCTTTCTTGAAAATTAGCCAGTCCTGCTCCAAAAGTAGCCAGCCCTGCTGAAAAGTTACCAGTCAGGGACTATGGGACCAGCTGCTATTTCCAACACTGGCTTTGCCCATGCAAAACAAACATTTTCACCCCACATGCAGTGCTTCAAATTTACACACAGAGTGTCCCAGATTGCATCTCAGAACTTCTACAATTCAAAAATTTTCCAGGGGCCCATTCCCCGGACCCCCTTAGCACGGAGCAGCACCCCCATGCTATAATGAAAAAGCTTGGACAACCCTGGGGATTATGATTATGGACATTGATAATGACTAATAAACACAAGGAAGAACATGATATGCTGTTTTATTACTGTAATTTGCTCCAAAATTGGCGGGCCTACAGCTTTGCTGGCGGGCCTGCAGCTTTTATGAGCTAGCCTATAGGCCCTGCAGGCCTAAAGCTTTTTCTGCTCGGTGGCAAACACTGTTTGAGGCCCAGGAAGGCATTGTCAGAAATATAGTGTTATAGTCTTAGATAATAGTGTTAACATGAGTCTTAACGTTAACTCGAATTTAGTTCTAGTCTTAACGTTAACAATTAAGTAATGCGATGCCTGGGAGGGCATTGTCAGAAATAATATTATTCGTGTTAGTCTTAAACAATAGTCTTAACACACTTTTACGTTAGTCTTAACGTTAACAAGTAAGTTTGAGGCCCGGGAAGGCATTGTCAGAAATATAGTGTTAGTCTTAGATAATAGTGTTAACATTGAGGCTTAACATTAAATTTTTCTCGTGGATCTGACCTCAACGTTAAATTTTTCTCGTGCATCTGACCTCGGTGCGCTTCGTGTGAGAAACCCGCAACTTTACGATGTTTTTGTTAGTGATCTTCGAGAAAAGTTCAGTTTTAAGACTTAATGTTAAGACTAATCTTGTTTCCGACCAGAGCTAAACTCCTGTTTGCCTCAGATAGCGCTCCTAGCACCAAATATTCGCGATTTTGTGTCAACTTATTTCGCCGCGTGGAGCGAGACCATCGTCATTGCAGCACCGATTCATTCTCGCAATCTATAATTTTTTATAGTCCAAGTCTAAAGTCTTCATAGTTGCGCACGACTTTTGCGTTTGACTGTTGAACTTTTACGAAGAAGTCGTTGTGCAAAAAAAGTTTCAACTACGCTTAAAATCGATCATGTTATGACGCGCACCGCGAACAACGCGACGTTACTCCAGCGTGCATTAATGCGTTCACTTGTCGTCGTCGGCACGCGCTGCGAACAACGCGACGTCACTCTATCGTGCATTAATGTGTTCACTTGTCGCCGTTGTCGTGGCGACACAGGTACGGCAGAAAGCCGCTGCTGTTCGTGGCGTTGGTCCTGATGGTGGCGTCGGGCGTGGGTTCCCCGTTCACGACGAACATCTACGCTTACACGGCCGTGAGGTTCCTCGTCGGAATGGGGTGTTCGATGTTCGCGGTCGCCTTCATCCTCGGTGAGTTCGTCTCGCGCGGAACATTTGCGAGTGTTTTTTTCGCAAACGCCGGCGAAATACATCTTCGGTAGAGCGTGATATATCTACTGAATCGAGTGTGAGAATGCGGTGAGAACGTTTGTTACGCGGCGTAGCGAAAACCATTTAATTTCAATATTTAAAATTAAAATTAATTTTTTTTGTACAAATTGAGAGTTTGGTAGATGCGCCATATCTCTCTACACATGCACGTACACGCGTACGCACGCAGACACGCGCACGCACGCACACACACTTGTAGGGTATGTATATATATGTACTCAGACACTACACAATTCAGACACGATGCCTTCGATTCGGACAGTGATAGCACATGATTTCGAGATGGTCCCCGCAACACTGCCGCGAGCGGCTCACCTCACCTTACGCAGTGTTGTCTCGATGCAGGTGTGGGGATGTGCGGGCGATATCCATTGAATCAACCATCAGAATCATTTGTTACGAGGTTTACTGCACCATTCCACAACCAAGAAAAGAATTTTTTTTTCAATCGTTGAAACGAATGATTTGGACAGGGATATCGCACGTGATTTCTAGATGTTTCTACGCGGTGTCTTCTCCGACAGGTGTGGAGATGTGCGGGCCGTCTAAACGTCTTCTCGCGGGAATGCTGGGCATGTACTGGTTCGCTCTCAGCTACCTCACCCTCGCCGGCGTCGCTTACTTCTTCCGGGATTGGAAGCAACTGAGCCTCATCATCTCCTGCCCGGCGGCCATCTTCTTCGGATTTTGGTGGTGAGAGTTCTAGCTATAGTCCCGTATTATAGTTCTCGTTAAAATGCTACTAAGGGAAGCTCTTCACTATGAAGACACGATAAAGGTATATGAAGGAGCAAGTGTATATGAGGTGAGACATCACTCGGTAGTATCCAGTACTAACTGCATAAGTAAAATGAACTCGAGTATGTGTGATTTACGACGAAATTTTATACATAGCTACATACGTTATTGCGTAGCTAACCCTGGGTGAGCTGGTGGCGGGGGGGGGGGCAGTGTGCAGGTTCCTGTGAGATAAACCAGGAGTTTGGAATAATGTAGATCATAATATAAGGAATATATAAAGTATAAGAATATATATATAGGAATAATATAACCAGGAGTGTCATAATATAGATGTGTCATATTATCTATATTATGACAATCCTGGAGTTACCAGTTTACCTGTTATGCAGTACCATAGCTAGCTAACCCATCTTGCCTGGGGTGGGTTGGGGGTGGGGTTGGCAATTAAAGCCACCTGCATGGTGTGGTTTTGGGAATGTGACTGCCATTGACCATACGATGTATCAAAATTTCACTGGGGGTGGGGGCAACTGACACCCTTGTCCCCAGTAGCCGTTGGTTCGGATGCTAACTTATTTTGTTACGTAGCAATGCAAGACTTGCTGTCATACGACATGCTGTCATAAAATTGCGAAGCATAACAAACCCGTTTCATCGCTTGGTCTCCGAACCCGTGCTCTAATCTAACGTTGCTGCAATTTTTTAATTTACGGAGAATAGTCGTTGTCTGATCTGTCAGAACCGGATTCCATTTTCCGTTTTGGATTCCAGGTTGATTCCGGAGTCAGTGCGGTGGCTGATCTCGCAGGGGAGGATGGAGGAAGCTGAGGCAATCGTGAGGAAGGTTGCCGTGGTTAACCGGGTGCGGCTTCCTGATTCGCTGTTCGACAGTCTCGAGGAAGAGACGGAGGTGGGTTGTATTTGTCTCGTGATGCTGTGTATGTGTGTGTGTGGGGGGGGGGTGTATGTGTGTTTGTGTCTGCATGTGCGTGTGTGTTTGTGTCTGCATGTGCGTGTGTGTTCGTGTGTGCGTGCATGCGTGCATGCGTGAGTGTGTATACAAGCTTTCAGTTTCAGTACATAGACACGCGTGAAGCGCACGTAAATCATGCATCTGTACAATGCCGTGAGCCGATTTTTAGCTCACCTTGACGTCGTGGGTCGTCGTCCGTCGTTCCTCCGTCCGTCCGTCCGTCAACATTTCGCTACGGTCAACGATAACTCAGAAACCGTTTGGCCCACATGTTTGAAATTGGGTATAGTTGTTACTGCTATGCTCCCATATTAAACGTCCTATTGGAGCACGCCAGCGACATACTTCGAAGCCACGCAATTTTTTGGCAAAAATGGGAATTGCCATAGTCAGTTCAGGTTCAACAGATTTTGCTCATTTTAGGTATGTGAATGAATAAGGGCTAGGGGTTTTGATATTTAAAAAAAATCATGCAAATTAAGGTAGGGTTGGCAATTATATAGCGTATTATTATAGACACAAACAGCTTGAGTGTCAACACCTCCGTCTTCTTCGATTGTACAAATTCATTAGACAATATCTTTAATGCAAAATGGTATTTCGCTCCACCCTTGCCGATAAAACGCTATATTGAGTAAAGCGTTTTACACAAAACATGTCGGAACGCATCATAACCTATTATAGTTCAAACCGCCATCTGCTCACAGAAGCTGGTATAGACGCCACTCTACGCGCACATTGTATTCATTTCTGGTTTCATAATATTATTATTGCGATTATAACGATTGCAATCTTTCTATAATGTCAGTTCGAATGTTTGCTATAAACGATTCTGTTACTTACTCATTTGTCCTGTTTCTAGCTCATCCTGACATAGTCAGTCATGCAGCTTGTAGAAATTGCATGGGCGTGGCGTTCCATTAAGCCTGTTACAGTGCGCTGGCCGTTATGGCGCCGTCTGTCGCAACAGCTGGGACAAATCTAAACCGCCCGAGGCGTACAGTCACGCATATTTCGGGACGATGGGGAGGGGGTAATCGCTGCGCGAAAGCGATTGGGATGATCGAAGCTGGGTCTAAAGTCAAAGCAAGAGGGTGTAGAAAGAAGGGGGAAGCATTCCCTTAGACTTAAGGTAGAGGAGGAAATCAGAATTGGCGGCCACAATCTAAACGGCCAACGCTGGCTGTGAATAGTCGGTGTATAGCATCATGGTAGGAAAAGCCATCACTGTGCCGAAATTGGAGGTCACAGGTCAAAGGTCAATGGGGCACCTGTAGGGCAGATTTTAGACATTTTCTGAGGACATGGTCTGACGGAGCAATTGAAAAACATATTTGTTTCAGCAGTGACCTAGCTTTTTTATGGCTTTATTGAAAGGACCATGAAATCTACTTTCCGCTGACATGCGAGGAGTAAGTGTCGGATAACCTTTTGACCCTCAAGAGGAGGGTTAAACATTGATTTGTTTCTCAACTGCGTTGGCGAGTACCTGTGGTTGTGGAAAGCTCCCATTTTACAGTGAAATTCCACACATAACTCTTACTTGAACAACGCTTACTTAGGAGATAATGAGATGACTTATATATGAGATTCTGTAGTGTACATTATGAATAGTGGGAATACAGTCACTAGCACTCAAATAATTACCCAGGAGTGAGGCTGCGGATTTCCCAGACTTAATTTTCTCATCAAATTTTGGCACCAATATAGACGCAAGTGTGTACGTTCTTGAGCTTATTCAGTCCACTAAGCACTGGCCTACCTTGTACTGAAATTAGTTTACAGATATATGCTATCGTATTGCTGTAAATTGTAATCTTGCACGAGCTGCTCTGGTTGTATCAACCATTGAGCTATTTTGTAACGAGCCAGATGTGCCTCGCAAGGGGTTTAATGTACCTTATTACCTGACACCATAGAACGCACGTTATGTATAGTAATAATATGGTAATTATTCGCTCCTGCTTTTTGCAATCTGTCGTCACACTGACAGCTGCCATTGCTGCAATGCTGTGGGTGACCGATGCAACGATGCCTTTGATAGCGGCCCACCATCTATCGGAATTTTATTACACTAGTTTGATGTGTTGTTTTTTTGGGGTTAGAAATGAACGTATGTATAGGACGTCTTGCTATGCACAAATGAATTTATCAGTAGAACACCAGACACCAGATGAGCCCTGTCGCTCTGCGGCACATGTTTGTGGTGAGCTACAGTGTCATTGACACTTTCATTACAATGAAAAATGTAACTGTACCTTTGTTGTGTCGTACATTCTAGCGGGACCACATGAAACACAAGGACACCATCCTTGACCTCTTCAGGTCGCGAGTGATCTTGCTAAGGACCATTGCACTGGGATATGTCTGGTAGGCAAACCCATATCAACTATATACTACCAAGAGCTAATAATAGCTAGAGTGTACAACGGAAAAACGGGAAAATAGTGCTATTTCACGAAATGATTATTCTACTTTGCCTGCGAGTCTAGAATAATTTTATGGTATTGCATTAAGCAGAATTCTTTGCTCTCTAAAACAAGACCAACCGCTTGTCAATACAATACTCCTAGGCTGAGATATTAGCTCCTAAACCTCCCCTCCCACAGGCATCACAGCTCCTCGAATCCACATCATTCAGCAACCTACACGCCTCTAAGCATTTCGGCTATCGGTTTCCGTCACCGCTTGGAGCGCTGAAAATTGATGTCACATGCCCAAATTTGGTACTATTACAACACCATATAGTAACTGAGCTGCATTGTAAAAACTTAATTAAGAAAACATTGCCGGCTCCATCATGACGGGCATTAGCCGTGCTAGGAAAGATAATGGGAGATAAGGGCATAGGCGATGCTCCCGAAAGTCCGTTCATTCATAAAGTTATGGCGGAAAAACCGAACTTTCACGAAGCAACCTTAGAGGCGTGTAGGTTGCTGAATGATGTGGGTTCGAGGCGCTGTGATGCCTGTGGGAGGGGAGGTTTAGGAGCCAATATCTCAGCCCAGGAGTATCGTATTGACAAGCGGTTGGTCTTGTTTTAGAAAGCAAAGAATTCTGTTTAATGCAGTACCATAAAATTATTCTAGACTCGCAGGCAAAGTAGAATAATCATGTCGTGAAATAGCACTATTTTCCCGTTTTTCCGTTGTACACTAGATAGTAGTGGAAGTAGATGGATAGAAGCAAATATGTAGAACATCTACAAATACGACTGTGCTGCAACTATCTCTTGCAGAAAAAACTATATTCTCATTTAAATTCTTAAATTATTATAATATTTATTATTTATATCATATATATATATAAAATTTTAAACATTAATTATATCATCTATTATTCTAATTTTTTTATTAATTAGTATATTTCTCAGAGTGATTATAATAGATTATTTCACCTAATTATAGTTATAATAATTTTTTTATTTATCTATTATTATTATTGATTATTATGTTTAGATAATCTATTATTCACTCGCTGATATTATCATTCATTAATTTTATAATTTTTATATATTTTACATACCGCAGCGATGGCTCAATGGCTAGAGTGCTCGGGGCCTCGCCATGCGGAAGGTCGTGGCGTTGAAATCCCAGCCGGGGTC